TCCATGTCAGTCTTAAACAAATTAGATCATATCTATATGATAGGGGCTAAATAATGAGATAACTTGAAAGACCTTTTCTTAAAGTAACTTGTTTTTGTCTATTTCTCTTCATTCATTTCCTAAAACTTTATGTTCACATCCCAGACTCTGTGTTGGGGTCAAGGGGCACAGGTCCTGCTGTTGATGCAGGAGCTTATCGTTAAGGTTTTCAAACTAGAGGTCAGGAAAAAAAAAATACTAAAACTTCTACCTGTATTATCTTTTTTCTATTTTCAGCTTTTACCTTTAACAGAATTAGCTGTTTACATGTTAAATTCTGTTAACAGAATTACATGATTAGAGTTCAGAGAGTCAAAAGAGTTCTACCAAAACAACAGGGTCCTGCTGTATAGCACAGGGAACTGTCGTCAATATCCTGTAATAAATCATAATGGAAAAGAATATGAAAAAGATTGATGGGAGGGAGGCTCACAAGGGAGGAGATATATGTAAACTTACAGCTGATTCATATTGATGTACAGAAGAAAGCAAGGCAGCATTGTAAATGAATTATCCTCCAATTAAAAAAAAAGAGTATATATATGTATAACTGAATCACTTTGCTGTACTGCAGAAATTAACACAACATTGCAAATCCACTATACTTCAACAGAAACAAGCAGACAAACAAACAAAACTCCCAAGTTTAGGAGGCTGATGCAACCTTGAGCCATTTGGCATGATCATAGTATTTGGTCATTCATTTAAAAAATGTTTAGTGAGTATCTTCAATATACTAGTTAATGAAACACATACTAACAAGATAAATTATGGCAGTTATACCTGAAAATCTTTAGTCTAGAGGAAGAAATGAGCTATTAAATAATTAAGTTGCACATGGTGAGTGTTGTAAAAAACTGAGTAAAACTTATCTGAAACACAGAGGAAAGGGAGAAAAACTTTGGGGAGGTTGAGAAAGCCTTTCTGGAAGGGACATTGGAATTTGATCTTGCAGGAGAACAGTATAAAGAACTGTGCAAAGTCAGTGTCTGACTGTGTGCAAAGTCAGACATGAAAGAATGAACCATATTTCAAGAATGAATTTCCCAAGTACTACACAGGACTTGAAGACCTGTAGAGCCAAACTTCACCCAGTCCAGACCAAACCAGATACAAATCCAGAGTCTCCCAACAGACTCCCAACAGGAGGAAGGGGTTTTAAACCTTGCCAGACCTTGCAAAGCTTCTCTGATCTCTTTAGAGCTAAGCTAACCCACTCCAGTGTTCTTGTTTGGAGAATCCCAGGGACAGCGGAGCCTGGTGGGCTGCCGTCTATGGGGTTGCACAGAGTCGGACACGACTAAAGCAACTTAGCAGCAGCAGCAGCAACCTATCCAAGTGATAGACTGCAATGCACTGCCCCCTAGAGTCAGTTACTGTGTTGATGATAGTAATAATAATAAAATTGGAAATGAAGCTTAATTTCAGTAGGTGGCAGTAGTCACAAAGCAGATATTTGTGTTCCTTTTCAGTTATTTTAGCTTTAGGTGTTGACTGCACCTTTAGGGTTTAAACACACTGGGTCTGGAAGCCCGAGCCTGGAGGAACCTTAGTCAGTCCCTCAGCCAGCATCGCATGGTTTACAGTTGACCACCGTCACCAGTAGTAGACTCATCACTTTTCTCCCAGTGGAGTCCTTTCACTTGAACCTGCAATGTTAATTTGTATTTTTAAGTGCAAGGGAACTTCATTATCAGAGTTCTTACTATTGGAGTACCCATAATTACAAGTTGGGAAATAAAGGTCATCCCAACATGAAATGTTCACTAACAAATCGGTCCTCAAAGAGCTAGTCCGCTTTCACACTTTCTCTGGCTTAACACAGCCTCTACCCCACACCCAGTCAGAGTGTCACTGTGCTTACTGTGTGTACCAGCTGCAAAGTGAAATTGCCAATCTTGCAAAAAATGCAGGGTTCCACTAAGATAAAGACAGTGGTGATGGAGGACTGATTCAATAATTGTTGGAAAACCGCCGAGAAGTGAGAGTCTGGCAGAGTTTGGTTGCAACTGAAAAAGAGCGAGTCGACAAAGATAACAGTGGCCCCGGTAGGAGATGGTTGGAAATTCGACGGATTTGGAGAGGTCCTGGGGAAAATGATGACGCCCTTGACTATTTTACAAAACTTCCCTCTTAGAACACCTCTTGGTGAAAGTCAGATAAGAAATGATTGATGTCATATTTTGCTGTCACATAATATTTTTCCAGAAAAAACATGGCCCAAACAAGTCTTGATTCATTTTTGTGTTTTAAGAATTAGTCCATTTTTTGCTGATATGATCAAAATGTGATTAAATATAAAATAAAATAAATTTACTGTCATAGTTTTTAGTTCCTTTTAAGATGAAGCCCCGATTCACACACCACCCCCCCACACACTCAATGCTCTAAAATGTTGCTTCCCATTTAAGTGAATTCTCTTAAAGTAAACTCTCCCTAGGACTAATTATCCTCAGAAACTTTTTTCTAATAACTCCTTAATTCTGTTTTGTAAGAGCTTTGTGCCCGCATCTGAGGTTATTGATGTTTCTCCCAGCAGTCTTGATTCCAGCTTGTGCTTCATCCAGTCAAGCATTTCTCATGATGTACACTGCATATAAGTTAAATAAGCAGGGTGACTATATATAGCCTTGATGTAATCCTTTCCCAGTTTGGAACCAGTCTGTTGTTCATGTCCAGTTCTAACTGTTGCTTCTTGATCTACATACAGATTTCTCAGGAGGCAGGTCAGGTGGTCTGGTATTCCCATCTCTTTAAGAATTTTCCACAGTTTGTTGTGATCCGCACAACAAGTCAAAGGCTTTGGCATAGTCAGTAAAGCAGAAATAGATGTTTTTCTGGAACTCTCTTGCTTTTTTGATGATCCAGCAAATGTTGGCAATTTGATCTCTGGTTCCTCTGCATTTTCTAAGTCCAGCTTGAACATCTGGAAGTTCACGGTTCACGTACTAATTAAGCCTGGCTTGGAGAATTTTGAACATTACTTTACTAGCGTGTGAGATGAGTGCAATTGTGTGGTAGTTTGAGCATTCTTTGGCATTGCCTTTCTTTGGGGTTGGAATGAAAACTGACCTTTTCCAGTCCTGTGGCCACTGCTGAGTTTTCCAAATTTGCTGGCATATTCAGTGCAGCACTTTTTCAGCATCATGTTTTAGGATTTGAAATAGCTCAGCTGGAATTCCATCATCTCCACTAGCTTTGTTAGTAGTGATGGTTCCTGAGGCCCACCTGACTTCATATTCCAGGATGTCTGGCTCTGGGTAAGTGATCACACCATTGTGATTATCTGGGTCAAGAAGATCCTTTTTGTATAGTTCTTCTGTGTATTCTTGCCACCTGGTCTTAATATCTTCTGCTTCTGTTACATCCATACCATTTCTGTCCTTTGTTGTGCCCATCTTTGGAAGAAAAGCTATGACCAACCTAGACAGCATATTAAAAAACAGAGACATTACTTTGCAGACAAAGTTCCATCTAGTCAAAGCTATGGTTTTTCCAGTAGTCATGTATGGATGTGAGAGTTGGACTATTAAGAAAGCTGAGCACCGAATAATTGATGCTTTTGAAGAAGAAGACTCTTGAGAGTCTCTTGGACTGCAAGAGATCCAACCAGTCCATCCTAAAGGAAATTAGTCCTGAATATTCATTGGAAGGACTGATTCTGAGCTGAAACTCCAACACTTTGGTCACCTGATGTGAAGAACTGGCTCATTTGAAAAGACCCTGATACTGGGAAAGATTGAAGGTGGGAGGAGAAGGGGATGACAGAGAATGTGATGGTTGGATGGCATCACCGACTCAATGGACATGAGTTTGAGTTAGCTCTGGGAGATGGTGAAGGACAGGGAAGCTTGGAATGCTGCAGTCCATGGGGTTGCAAAGAGTTGGACATGACTGAGTGAACTGAACTGAAGAGCTTATAGGGTGCCCTAGGCATGAAGACATTCTAGATGTGTTGTGTTTTGGTTAGTGAAGATTGCAAACCTGGCTCCAGATCACTGGCCTTGTTCTTTTCTCCAGGAGGAGTGGTTTCCCTGTGACAGCTACATCTACTTGCTCCAGACTTGAATTTCATAGAAGTGTTGGACTGGCTCACAGAAGCTGCTCTCTGGGGTCTATGAGAAATTCAGCTGCTGATATAACTGGCTGCTCATCTTTCCTTTACAGCACAGCAGCCACATTAAAAAAAAAAAGTGATACAGGTAAATAAAAAAAATTTATAAAGTGAGTCAATTCTAAGGGAGGGGGAAGCCCATTTTAAAAACCAGAGGATTCCTCTTTTATGGTTTATGTAAGGATTAAGTTAGGTTAAAGGTGTGAAAGAATTTTAGCATGACAGGAAAATTTTTTTTTCACTTTTTTTCCCATTATTTTTTCACTTTTACCTTCTATCAAGTAGAAGGTAAAGGGATTCCTTTTTTTCATTGTATCATTCATGTGGTAAGTATGAGCAGGAGAGTGATGTGGTGGGAAGTTGATTGTCAAGGAGGGAAGAAAGATCAGCCAGAGGAATACAGGTTGTTTATAAAGATATAAAACAGAAACCAGCAGTTACTTTTAGTAAAACTACAGGCTGAGAGGAGAGCAGTGTGTTTCTATCCATGTTTCCAGGCATAAAAGCACAACCCATTCTTGAGGATGGAGCACTGAGGTACATGAATGATTTGGCCACAGCCAGTTTTGGATGGATTGCAATCCAGGGCTTTATTCTGTATCTTAACTATGATGAATCAGTTCATCAGGCTCTCAAGGAAAAGCTTCACTGTGAGAGGATGTTTGAAATGAAAAGGCTGTGTTGTACTTGGTTCCTGCACTCAAGGATCTTGGGGGGAACAGAACTGTGAAATAACTGGAGATTATTTTGCAATCTAAACTTCAGACAGCATATCTGGCTGCTTACCAGGACTGAGCAGGGGTTGTACCTGAGGGAGCTTGTCACTTATAAGAAAGCAATTGCATGGATGCATATAAACGACAGTGGACTTATATGTGAGAACATAGGGAGTGGTAAAGAGGAACCAGAGATCAAATTCCTTCACTTGTGGAGTGGGTTGCCATGCACTCCTCCAGGCAATCTTCCCAACCCAGGAACCAAACCCAGGTCTCCTGCATTGCAGGTGGATTCTTTACCATCTGAGCTACCAGGTAAGCCCATGGAAAAAGCAAGGGAATTCCAAAAAAGCTCTTCTGCTTCACTGACTATGCTAAAGTCTTTGACAGTGTGGATCACAACAAACTGTAGAAAATTCTTAAAGAGATGGGAATACCAGACCACCTTACCTGTCTCCTGTGAAACCTGTATGCAGGGCAGAAAGCAAGAGTTAGATACAGACATGGAACAGCAGACTGGTTCAAAATTGGGAAAGAAGTACATCAAGGAGTATATTGTCACCCTGCTTATTTAACTTATATGCTGAGTACGTCATGTGAAATGCTGGGCTGGATGAAGCACAAGCTGAAATCAAGATTGCCAGGAGAAATATCAACAACCTCAGATATGCAGATGATACCACTCTAATGGCAGAAATCGAAGAGGAACTAAAGAGCCTGTTGATGAAGGTGAAAGAGGATAGTGAAAAAGCTGGCTTAAAACTCAACATTCAAAAAGCTAAGATCATGGCATCCGGTCCCATCACTTCATGGCAAATAGATGGGGAATAAGTGGAAGCTGTAACAGATTTTATTTTCTTGGGCTCCAAAATCACTGCAGACAGTGACTTCAACCATAAAATTAAAAGGTGCTTGCTCCTTGGAAGGTAAGCTATGACAATCCTAGACAGCATATTAAAAAGCAGAGACATCATTTTGCTGACAAAGGTCCATATAGTCAAAGCTATGGTTTTTCCTGTAGTCATGTACAGATGTGAAAATTGGACCATAAAGAAGGCTGAGTGCCAAAGAATCGATGCTTTCAAACTGTGGTGCTAGAGAAGACTTGAGAGTCCCTTGGACAGCTAGGAAATCAAACCAATCAATCCTAAAGGGAATAAACCCTGGATATTCATTGGAAGGACTGATGCTGAAGCTGCAGCTCCAATACTTTGGCCACCTGACATGAAGAGCTGACTCATTAGAAAAGACCCTGATGCTGGGAAAGATTGGGTACAAGAGGAGAAGGGGTCAACAGAGTATAAGATGGTTAGATAGCATCACTGACTCAATGGACATGAGTTTGAGCAAACTCTGGGAGATGGTGAAGGACAGGGAAGCCCGGCACAGTACAGTTCATTGGGTTGCAGAGAGTCAGACTTGACTTAGCGACTGAACAGCAACAACAAAGGCAGAGGCAAATAGCTTGTGTCATTTCAAAAGGGACAGCAGCCTCAACTCAGTTTCAAGGAGCCCAGTGAGAGAACAGGTCTATAATTTCCAGATCTTCTGGTTTGGTCAGAAGAAGAAAGAAATCTTGATGTTTATATGGAATTTCTCAATTTTTAAAAGTCCTCAATTTAATAAAATGACAAAACATGGATCTGCAGCTTTCTTGGGGATCTTTGCTAACACGTGGTGATGAGTGGAAAGCCAGGGAAGCTCAGAGAAGAAAGAAGAGGGTTGGGGGGAGCCTGCATCCTGGGCCTGTCGGATGGACCCTCTTACTAGCAGGAGGGTGGGTCCATACCTCCCTCTGGGTGGAGGGCAGGATGCAGAGGCATATCTTCTGAGCACACTCCTATAGCCCAGGGACTGGCTCTGACTTCGTCTGCTTGTCCTCTTAGCAGCTATTCCCTAGAGGAATTGTGGGGACAATGAGAGAAGAGTCTCTTTTATCCATTTTTTTTTTAATAAAACAGTATGGAATTGTCTAAGTGATCAGAGGCAAAATTTTCTAACATTTGGAGAATATAAAATAAAAAGTAAGAACTCTCTTCCCATTTCTCCCCTCTCCTCTATTTCTGTTTCTAAGAGGTAATCACTGTTAAATTTTTAGACTGTTATTCCAGAAATTTTCTGAGCATATAAAAACCACATATGTGATTTATTTCTTTTTTTCCCCAGGAGATAGAGGGAAGATGATTGGCCTTTGGATAGAGAGCACAGTCCCAACTCTGCGCCTTTTTGTCTATAGTGTTCCCTGCGTGGAAGGCCTTTCTCTTCCTCTTCCTCTCCTGGCATGAATGCTTTGAAAAGCAGCACAGTACAGAAAAACACAGAATCTCAGTCAGACTTTCTGGTTCCACAGTCTGGCTCTCTTGTTTCCTAGTTCTGACTCTAGCTGGGCCTTCTGACTCTAGCTGACTCTTACTCGGACTTTCCACGCCATGATTTTCCAATCTATTAAAAGGGCCTTGGGGACTTCCCTGGTGGTCCAGTGGCTGAGACTTTGCCTTCCAGTGCAGTCAATCCCTGATTGGGTCTCTAGGATCCCACATACCTTGTGGTCAAAAAACCCAAACATAAAACAGAAGCAGTATTGTAACAAATTCAATAAAGACTTTAAAAATGGGCCACATTTTAAAAAAACCTTTAAGAAAAGGCATTAAAACCAGAATCTGTCTCAAAAGTTTGTTATGAGAAATAAATATGTTGAAGGCCACGCGGCAGGATTTGGCACCAAACAAGTAGTGGCACTGTGGTAGAGAATCTGCCTGCCGATGCAGGAGACACAAGAGACTCAGGTTTGATCCCTGGATTGGAAAGATCCCCTGAAGGAGGAAATGGCAACCCACTCCAGTATTCTTGCCTGGAGAATTCCATGGACAGAGGAGCCTGGTGGGCTACAATTCATGGTGTCACAAAGGGTCAGACATGACTGAGCGCACACACACACACACACACACACACACACACACAAGTAATATATAGGTGTTTACTATTACCATTGTTCTCAAAGGCCTAACATTTTTTTTTCCTTTCTATTAGGAAATCTTCCTCAATCATCCTTAATTCCTGCTCCTGTCTCCTCCTCCAGCTTACCTCTTTTAGTGATGATGATGCCGCCAAATTTGGCATCTTATTATATTGCCTCACATTGTCTCAGCATGGGTCATGTGTGCCTGTGCATTGCTGACCTGCTAGGGCAGTCACCATGCCTCTCACTTGTCTGTGTCTCTGCAGAGGCACCCCCATGAACAGAGGTAGGCAGAGATACAGGTGCGAGGATCTTCAGGTCTGTGTCCTGCTCTGCCAGATGTCGCAGAGGTCAGCGAGAAGTCAGGGAGCTTGGGACCCAGCTGCCAATGCTTTGAGCTGCTCTTTATATTCACCAAAAGGTGCCTTGCCAAAATTTAGAGCAAACGGTTTTAGAAACTCTCTGCTAGCATCAGGGCCCTAAGGGCGGTGATGCTCCGGCACTTCTCCTCTCCCCAGGGAGCCTCTGAGATCATCTCAGTAAAACTTTAATGCCTGGAAGTCAATTAGAGTGGAGAATTCTCCTGTAATCAAAAGAGGCAGTGCTTTTATTGGAAAGGTGCAAACAAGAGGGGAAGGATGGCAGCTGTGTGAGACTCTGTAGAGCTAATAGCTTGGGCTGAGAAAGTTATTTCAGCAGAGTCAGACAGTATCTACCAGACATGAAGGCAAAAGGAGGGGCTCTGGTTGGGCTGAGGGGGAAGCAGGCTAGGCCTTCAGAGATGGCCTCCAGGATTATCCTTAGAGTACGCCAAGGCATTCCTAGAGCAGATTCCCAGCTTCGCTTTCATGGGTCGTCCAGCAGATCCATGAATTACTCTCCATCTCTCACTTGAAAGGGGAGGAATGGAACTAAAGAGAGGTTAACATGACACCGGCGTTAATACCCCCGCCTCTCTACTTTCAGCAAGCAGACCTCACTGGAGTGAGGAGTATGGATGAGGAAGCGGGGGAGCTCTGTTCTCTCTAAGCACATTCCCTGAAAGTGGCAACTTCTCAGTGCCTGCTAAGAGAATTGTGAAAAGCTGTTAGAGGAAATCATGTGAAATTAATGACTTAAATATCACTGGACAGATGCACGAGTTGTATGTGTCTGTTCCATTTACTGCTACATAGCAAATCACCCCAAAACTGTCTTCCAAAAACCATTTTATTATGTTCACAGAGCCTATGGGTCAGGAATTCAGGCAGGGCAACACTGAGGATGCCTTGTCTGTTCCATGATGTCTGGGGCCTCAGGTGGGAAGACATATATAGTAGGGAGTCACTTTACAGCTGGAGGCTAGAGTCTTCTGAGGGTTCAAGTGGCTGGACATCCAGGATTGCTCATCACATGTCCTTTAGCTGATGCTGGCTGTCAGTTGGGAACTCAGCTGGGGCTGTAGACCAGTGCACCACATGTGTCTTCTCTGGCATGACAGTCTTAGGGTATTTGATACTCCTCTATGGAGGCTGGCTTTCCCCAGAATGAACCTCCCAAGAGAACCAGGCAGATCTTTTATTTTTTATATTTGTTTTTTTGGGGGGGAAATCCAAATTTTATTTATTTGACTGTGGTGGGTCTTAGTTGTGGCCTGTGAAATCTTTAGTTGCAGCATTCAAACTCTTGGTTGGAACAAGTGGGATCTAGTTCCCTGACTAGGGATCAAACCCGGGCCCCCTGCATTGGGAGCACAGAGTCTTAGCCACTGGACCAACAGCGAAGTCCCCAGGCAGACCTCTGAAGACCTAATATCTCTTCCACTCCAGTCTGTTGGTCAAAGCAGTCACAAGGGAAGGAACACAGGCCCTACCTCCTACTAGTGGTGAAGAATATGTAGCTGTTGTTTTTGAAAACCACAATATTGTCTTATTCCTTTATGTCCTCATTCCTTTATGACTCCATGAATTCCTAATGACATAGGAGTTGTTCGTGAAGTCAGCAGGTGCTAGCATCCTGCCTTGGCTTTGCCACTAACTAGCTGTGTGACCTTGGAAAAATTATCTCACCCATCCAAATTTCTGTTTTCTCATTGATAAAGATATTTATTATTAAAATAAATGTTTAGGTATCTTTTGTCACTTGTAAAATATCTTTTTAAAATTTTTTATTGAAGTGTAGTTGATTTCTGAGGTTGTGTTAACTTCTGCTGTACAGCAAAGTGATTCAGTTATACACAGATATACATTCTTCTGTATACTCTTTTCCACTACGGTTTATCTCAGGACATTAAATATAGATCCCTGTGCTATATAATAGGACCTTGTTGTCTACCCATTCTATATACAATAATTGGCATCTTTTTTGTTGTTTAGTCACTAAGTTGCATTGTTTCCAACTCTTTGTGACCCCGTGTGCTACAGCACACCAGGCTTCCCTATCCTTAACCATCTCCCAGACTTTGCTCGAACTCATGTCCATTGAGTCAATGATCTACTAACTCCCCAAACTCCCAGTTCATCCCTCCCTCAACCCTTCCCTTGGCAACCACAAGTCTGTTCTCTATGTTTTTGACCCTGTTTCTGTTTAGGAGATAGGTTTGTTTGTGCTGTATTTTAGATTTCACATGTAAGTGAT